CCACGGCCACGCCGGCGCCGCCGCCGCAGGAGACTCTTTAGAGCTCTTCGCTTTCTTCGAATCCCTCTCGATGATCGACGAGAAATCGACTCTCCGAATCGCATTCAGCCGAGTCTCCTCATTGCTAATTTCTCTGAAAATTAGCAAAATCATCAGAAAATCCGGAGAGAAATTCAGAGGAAAGAGATGAGAGATGATGATTCGTACGAAGGGAAATGCTCGACGCCGGATTCTTCGATGGCTTCGATGCGCTTGATCGGGAGCTTGTCGAGGTCGATCTTCATGTTTGAATCCATCAATGGAGCTAAAGAGTTCGAATTTGGGAGCGAAAGTAGCAGCAAAATTTGGGGATTAGGGTTTAGGCGTTCGCCGAAGAAAATTAGGGGGGGGACGAAAAGAGCTCGGAGGCGCTCGCGGGGGTCGGGGGGCGTTAGAGAGGAAAACGGGTATGGATTAGGCGGGTAACTAATGGATACATGTTGGATCCGTTAATAATTTTTTAGGGTTCATTTTCGAAAAAGAATCCAATGAGAAAATAGGATATGGTAATTTAAATCAGGGTAGATTTCATAAAACTAGCATGAACCTTTTTAGATGAAGTATTATAACTTATTTCATTATTAGAGAATAAATATCATTAAAAATTTTCTTTTCTTTTCCTTTTTTCTCTGTTTTTTTTTGAAAATTTAGAAATTTATGATAATTTCTCTAATAGCAATAATTTGTGACGTTTTTAAGCAAAACCCCATATAGCTTATCATTGATTTGTGAAATTTGTTTTGTCTGAGAGCCTATGTATTCATATTTCAAACTCTACTTAACAAAACAATTTTCCGTGCAGAATAAATTCCAGAGAATCCAGACTCTTTTCCATGGAAAATCAAATTTGGCACTCATGAATGAGTACATTGTTTCATGAGAGCACGATAACTTAACTCGATTTTGTAAATAATGAGGTATTCATTTGGAACCGACACAAGCCAAATCCGATCAACTTTCAAGAAACATGCATTCTGTACATACGTTTCTGTACTGATTCGCGCATAACTGGAAACAAACAACAGAACCCGAATCATATCTTAAGAATAAGCACCCTGTACGTAGCTATTTATCGAATAAGTACATATAATCATCTGAACATGGAATGAAGCTTCGTTTCGACGACAACATTTTGTTCGATGAGGCTATCAACACTCGAAAGACAAGAAGGGGGAACAACGTCACCAGAACTGGACCCTGATGCCTGCCAGCAATAAGCAGTCGGAACCCCTCCAGAGCCCAAAGATAACTGGATATCTTCAAGGTTTATATTTTCACATGGAAAAATGTCACTGCAAGCAAATTTTATAGCGTCCTCTGTTGCTGACGTTCCTTTGATGCCAATGAATGCGATATCGTAAACCCGTACAGCTGATGTCTGCATTTGACAGTAAATCCAAAGTAAAGAAGTTAAGGAAATGTATTTATTGAGAAAATGCTTTTTCATTACTTTCTATTGCAAATCTTATTTTGATGATAAAAAGTTAAAAGGGTGGCGCTACAGTCACACCCCCAACCACACTCCTCTCTCGCTACAGTGCACTAGGTCCCACATGAGAATTTTAAAATTTTTTAAAATTCTCATGTGGGCCCCAGTGCAGTGTAGCGAGAGAGGAGTGTGGTTGGGGGGTGTGCTTCTAGCATTTTCCAATTGATAATGGGAAGTGAACATTTAAAAGTGAAACGGTAGAAAGAGAAAATAAAAAATTAATTTATATGCACTTTCCATTCACTTTCTCTAAGTTTTGGGTAAATTGAAATTTGTGTAAAAATTCCGTTCGGCATTGTGCACTTCCAATTATTTTTCTGTCACTTACCAATTGTCTGATATGAAAATAAATAGACAGCGGACCATCATTTACCTGGTTTTCACATGGATGTTTCGAATCACAGTAGTACTGATCAATTATTATTGGATTCGAGACGTTACTCATCAAAATATTCTTGAACATAATGTTGCGGGCATAACCCTGACCACCCTGATCCAAGTAGAAGCAATAGGGGATAAATAGTTGCATTTGGCTGATATTAGTGGAGATTAACTATCACAGAATTACCTGCCATGTTTTGATCCTTACACCATTCTCAGTGTTGGAAATAAAGGCTCCATCAACTTGCACCTTTTGCACTTTCGCCGTGGAGTTTGATTTGCCCAGGCTTCCAATACTAATATCAATAGTACTGGGTGAATTAGGCAGTATTCATCATTCTAAGAAATTTGAAGCCTGTGATTGAGGATGAATTACCAAGACATTTTTATTCAAAAAGAGGGGAGTATATTGGGTGATTACCTTATGCCATGACCTGGTCCACAGATAATGTTCCTCACTAGAATGTCAGAAGAATTGCCGACTATAGATATGCAATCATCTCCTGCAATGAGGTAAGAAATCTAAAATTGACGAGGGAAAGAAAATATTGTAACACATAACAACTATTCTACGGCATAAATATTTGTTCAATATGAGTCGGACTCTTCTTCTAGTCTCCCTTATATTTCACCACGTCCAGTAAAAGAACTACAATTAATGACTTCTTCTTTTTTTCCCCCTTCCCAATTCTTAAACCTGCCTAATTTCACACATCTTCATCTTTTCCGGTACTCATTGTTGGGGATTCGAAACAATCAAATCGAATCCGTACCCTTCCGGATCTTGTGTTTGAGAGTTGAGCAAGAAAGAAATTCACCACAAATCAAAGATAAAAACTTGCAGGAAATAAAAACAAAAGAACACACGGATTTAACGAGGTTCGGCAACGTGCCTACGTCCTCGGGAGCCACACCACACAATTCCTTTGATTAATTGAAGAAGGAATACAAGCACTCAAACTAGGGTTTAATCTCTCTGAGATTCTCTCTCAAAAGCTCTCTTTTTCTTGTTTTCTGACTTTTTTTCGACGTTCTAATTAGCCCTAGAAACATATAGGTATATATATGAATCTCAGCCCAAACAGAATTTAAAACAGTTTAGAAAACTGCCAGTTCGACTCGTGGTCGACCGCCGAACCAGTCGCGGTCGACCGGATAAACGACAGAAACCCAAAAACACCTACAGGGTCTCGCGATCGACCGGACCATCTGCCGCGGTCGACCGGAAAAAATCTCGTGCACGTTCGCGGTCAACCGCACCAACCGCCGCGGTCGATCGTAGTTTGTCTTGACTGTTTACTTCGTCTTCTTGATTTCAGCTTCGGCTTCAGCTTTGGGTCTACACTTAGACTAACAATCTCCCACTTTGAGACCAAAGCACCATCAACGAGCTCTTCTGAACTCTCTCCTTCTTCGTAAGTATCTTCTCCTCCCCGAAAAAATCATTTCTTCAATCATCATCATCTCGGCAATCTCGCTTATCATCCTTGTAGGCTGTCTAAAAATCACAATGGATAGTTAATCCCTATTAAACCCCGACAATGGAAGTTACAATTAGACGACTTTCTAATCACTATATCTGCAACTCTGCAACCGCTACAAACACGGCCTCATTTCTGAGATGATTGATCTTGATGGCTGCGACAACAGCATGACTAATATTATATTAGCAACTATTAGAGATGCTGATGAGCAGTGTAATGATTTTAGAAATAAAATGTTAGATTTAGTTGGTGAGTTGCTTGGTAGAGAGCTGTGGGCAAATACTCGTCTAAAAATCACTATGGATGTTTGATTCCCGTCAAGTTCCAACAATGGAAGCTACAATCAAATAGCTTTCGTGCCGACAAATGAAGGTTGCAAATAGAGGACTTTTCACACAGATCGAGAAGAGTTACAATTCAACGACGCTTCCGACAGCTGATGAAAACTCTATTCAGTTACCTTCACAATCAACAGTGAGAGTTACAATCTGACGACTCTCATATCCTATTACAGGCAAAGATCAATAAGCGGTTGCCTTTGCAGTGTTATAATGGACGAGGTTACAAGTCAACAACCTCTCCCAAACGCAGGACTCACTTCTGCATTTCTCAAATTCAAGACGCAGGCGAACTGTGCGTTTTTCAGCAGACGTCCAACTCTGCAACGCAGAGTTAAAACACAAAACGTACGAACTGTGCGTTCTTTAGCAAAACACTTAACACTGCGTCCCAAATCCAGGACGCAGAGTTGAGAACTCAACACATGAGCGGCCTGTGCGTCTTAAATCTCTAACAGAGATTTAACCCTGCGTCCTGGACGCAGAGTTAAGGCCCAGAACGCCAACTGAGGCGTTTTGACTTGTTCAAACACAGCCCGAACGGCCTCAAAACCGTTATCCTACGTTCTGAGGGATTTTCGCCCACTTAGGAGCGGATTTAGGGGTTGGTTACACCCCTAATCTCCCTATAAATAACCAACTTACTCAACTGAGTAGAGGGTTGACGTGTGCTGGCATCAAAACCATATAAGGTTAACAAATCTCAGCAGCTTAACCGCATAGAGAAGACGATTTTCCAAGAGATCAAAGAACTGATCAGCAATCAGTTAATCAAATCTTGAAGAATCTCTTCACCAACGGCGGATTTACTTGGCTATTAACCGAATCTTCGGTTCTAACAACTTTGTTACAGAGTGTCAACTCACTCTGAGTTCTGAAACTCATTTAAGAATTGGTAATTAAGCTTGCAACGCAAGGTAATTACACCAAGTCAGTTATTCGGTTCTCAACAACTCTCTTCAGAGTTTTCAACTCGTTCTGAGTTTATTAAACTTGTTAAGAGTTTTAAACCGAATTCATCAAACAAGTCAATCGTTCCAGTGAATCAAGACGGTCGGATCGTCAACGGAGAGCAAGTTCGACACAATCAATCGAAGGAGGCACTCCATCGCTACCAAGAAGAACCCAGAATTAAACAAAGGGGAGAATCAAATTATTGATTTTGAGAGAATACAAGTCAATTTTTCTTTCATTGTCTTTTTACTGCAAATTTCCAACAAACAATCCTAGTGTGGCTCCGCCTTCATCTTCTACTTGTGAAGGCCAACTGAAATTGAGCACAACTCCAGTTTCTCTATGGTGACTGTCTTCGTCAACATATCTGTCGGATTTTGACTCCCTAAAATCTTCTCAAAATATAACTTCCCGTCCTCGATCAGCGAGCGTATGAAATGGTATCGTACGTCGATGTGCTTCGTTCTGGCATGATATACTGGATTCTTGGCAAGATGTATAGCGCTCTGGTTATCATAATAAAAAACTCCTCTCCCTTACTTCAGATCTAACTCTTCCGAACATCCAACCAACCAGATCATCTCCTTGTTTGCTTCAGTCACCGCGACATACTCAGCCTCGGTTGTAGATAAAGTTACAATCTTTTGCAGACGTAAGACTTAGCTCACTGCTGTCGACGCCAAAGTATAAACATACCCCGGGTGCTCAGCTTCGTATAATGATCACCGACGAAGTCCGCATCCACGTATCCCTGCAGCACCAACTCCTTCCTCCTGAAACATAATGGTTTGTTCGTTGTCCCTCTCAGGTACTGCAATATCCACTTCACGATCTCCCAATGTTGTTTTCCTGAATTGTTTGCAAACCTGCTCATAACTCTCACTGCATGGGCAATGTCCGACCTCATGAAAACCATCGCGTACATGAGACTCCCGAAGAATATGACACCCTGCTCATGTGCCCTCTCTCTGCATCTATCTTAGGCGATTGCTCATCAGATAACTTGAACTGGTTTCCAATGGGTGTGCTAACAACCTTAGCATTCTGCATATTGAACCTCTGAAGTACCTTCTCGATATTCAGCTTGGCTCAACCACAACGTCCCTTTATCTTCATTTCTACTGATTCGCATCCTTAGAATCTGCTTCGCTGCACCCAGATCCTTCATTGCAAACTCATTTGCTAGCTGCTTCTTCAAACTGTTTATCTCCTCTAAACACAGTCTTGCTACTAACATGTCATCAACATATAATATCAATATGATAAAACTGGACCCAAATCTTTTGAAATAACAGCAATGATCCGAATTGCATCTTTCATAACCATTGCTTTGCATGAAGTTGTCGAACTTCTTGTACTACTGTCTCGGAGCCTTTTCAAACCGTACAAGCTTTTTTTGAGCTTATACACCATCTCTTCCATTCCTTCTTTAATGAAGCCAACATGTTGCTTCATGTAGATTTCTTCATCTAAGTCACCATGAAGAAATATAGTTTCCACATCTAACTGCTTAAGAAAGAGGTCTTCTGTAGCTACCAAGCTCAACACCACTCTGATGGTTGTGAGCTTTACAATAGAGGAAAATATCTCTGTATAGTCCACTCCTTCCCGCTGTAGGAACCCTTTACAACTAATCTGACCTTGTACCTCTTGCTTCCATCACTCTCTTGCTTGACTCGATAGACCCGTTTGTTATGCAAGGCTTTCTTTTGTGCAGGTAGCTGGGCTAACTCTCATGTCTTGTAAATGAGTAGAGAATCCATCTCCTCCTGCATCGCATGCTTCCACTGCTGAGATTCACTCACTTACATAGCCTCCTCATAGCACTCCGGTTCACCGCTATCTGTCAACAATAAGTAATCAAGAGATGAAAGATATCTAGGATTCGGTTTTGGTACCCTAGATGACCTTCTAAACTTCACGTCCTGGGTAGTTGCTTCTGCACCTGGAGCCTCCTCTGTTCTTCGGTCAGAATAAACATCATCACCCCTATCTGAAAGTTCCTCTAAATCCATGTCCTCAGATTCACCTGCACCTGAAGTGATGCTCTCACTGCTTTGGCTATCCTTGGTTTTTTTATGTCCTTGTACATCACCTCCTCATTGAATATGACGTCTCGGCTCCTGATGATCTTCTTGTTCTTCTCATCCCAAAGACGATACATGAACTCATCAATACCGTATCCAATGAATGTACACTTTTATGACTTAGTTTCTAGTTTGTCCCTGACATGGTCACTGATATGAACATAAGCCACGCAACCAAATACCCACAAGTGTGAGACATTAACCTTCTTGTCACTCCAAATCTCCTCTAGAATCCCAAAATTTAATGGAACTGATGACCCATGATTAATAAGGTAAGTCGTCGTATGCATCGTATCCGTCCAAAATATTTTAGGCAGACCGGCATGTAATCGCATGCTCCTGACACGCTCCGTCAAGGTTCTGTTCATCCTCTCTGCAATGCTATTCTGCTACGGCGTCCCTGGAGTAGTCCTCTAAGCGATACCATTTGTAGCATAGAACCTCTTGAACTCCTCCAGCTCGTATTCTCCACCATTGTCTGATCTCAAACACTTCACTTTCAGATCTGTCTCGTTTTTCACCATGACCTTCCACTTCTTGAAGACTTCAAACACCTCTGACCTGTTCTTCATAAAGTAAACTCACACCTTCCTCGAGTGGTCATCGATAAATGTGATATAGTATCTCGAACCACCAAAAGAAGACACACTGGCTGGACCTCATATATCTGTATAAATCAACTCTAGATTCTGAGCCTTAGGTGGTCTTCCACCCTTCTAGAAACTAACCCTCTTCTGCTTTCCAAAGATGCAATCTTCACAAACCCCGACTTCTACGGAATCGATCCCGGTTAGCATTCCCTGTAAATGTAGAATTTTCATTCCCTTCTCGTTCATGTGTCCCAACCTATTGTGCCACAGATCCATACTTTTTTTGTCAGTTGCAATTGCGAGGGTGTCACTCGCATGTGAGGTGAGGTAGAGTGTTCATGTTTTGTTACCTCGGGTAACAACCATCGTACCGTTAGAGATCCTCCACGAATCCCCGGTAAATGTCGAAACGTAGCCTTGTGCTCTAAGTTGTCCTACCGAAATAAAATTTCTCTTCAACTTCGGTACGTATCTCATGTTCTTTATGTTCCACTTAGAGCCCTTCATCTGAATCTGCACGTCACCCTTTCCAACAATATTACATGGCTCATTGTCCCCCAAATACACTTTTTCAAAGTCCTCTGCTACATAATTCTGAAGAAGCTTCTTATTAGCAGTGGCGTGGAAAGAGGCTCCTGAGTCGATGACCCAAGAATCTGAATCGTTGTCCATAGCAAGGATCAAAACATCTTGCACGATATGAGCCTCCTACTCACCCGCATCCTTTTTTGGACTTTTGCAGACTGAAGACATATTACCCTTCTAGTCGTAGTTCCAATACTTCCCTTTGATAGGTCTAACCTTCGATTTCGACCTCTTCTTCGACTTAGACCAATTCATGTTCTGGTCAATTCATGTTCTGGTTCCCTTTCTTCTGGCTTCTGCCTCTCTGCTCGAAACTTAGAGCTGAACCTGAACCTTCTGATTCGGACGATTTTCTTCTAACCTCCTCGGATAGAATCATGCTAACAACCTCACTTAGCTTCAATTTCTCTTTCCCCACGAATTGTTGATTGTCGTCACACAACCTGCCCAACTATCCGACAACTACGATAGAATCAATAGGATTTGCATTTCGTCATCAAACGTGATGTCCATGGAGATAAGTTGATCAACAATAGTGTTGAACTGACTGAGGTGCATCGTGAAGGACTGTCCTTATGTCATCTTGAGGTTGAATAGAGTTTTGACGAGATGCACATTGTTTGTTGCAGACGGTTGTTCGTACATATTCGCGAGCGCTTCCATAAGCCCTACAGTCGTCTTCTTCTTAAATATGTTGTGTGCTACTGTCTTGGCGAGCGACAACCGGATTTGCCCTAAAACCTTTCTATCCAATATCTCTCAATCATCGTCTGACTCTTCTTTCTTCTGTCTCTTATCCTTGCCCATCAACGGGCGATACAAGTCCTTCTGATACAGATAGTCCTCCATCTGCGATTTTCAGTATGCGAAGTCTGAACCGTCAAACTTCTCGATCTTAGATTTGATTTTTTCTGTCATGGCTCTCTTTCTCACAAATTTACTGAACGAAGCTCTGATACCAGTTGTTGGGGATTCGAAACAATCAAATCGAATTTATACTCTTCCGGATCTTGTGTTTGAAAGTTGAGCAAGAAAGAAATTCACCACAAATCAAAGATAAAAACTTGCAGGAAATAAGAACAAAAGAACACACGGATTTAACGAGGTTCGGTAACGTGCCTACGTCCTCGGGAGTCACACCACACAATTCTTTTGATTAATTATAGAAGGAATACAAGCACTCAAATTAGGGTTTAATCTCTCTAAGATTCTCTCTCAAAAGCTCTCTTTTTCTTGTCTTCTGACTTTTATCGACGTTCTAATTAGCCCTAGAAACATATAGGTATATATATGAATCCCAGCCCAAACATAATTCAAAATAGTTTAGGAAACTACCAGCTAGACTCACGGTCGATCGCCGAACCAGTCGCGATCGACCGAATAAACGATAGAAACCCAAAAACGCCTACAGGGTCTCGTGGTCGACCGGACCATCTGCCGCAGTCGACCGGAAAAAGTCCAGAGATTTTTCTTATCTCGTGCACGTTCGCGGTCGACCACACCAACCGCCACGGTCGACTGTAGTTTGTCTTGACTGTTTCCTTCGTCTTCCTGATTCCAGCTTCGGCTTCAGCTTTGGGTCTACACTTAGACTAACACTCACTAGCATCTACTAGATTGAATAAGATAATCAAACTTCAGAAGCCTGAGAATAAGTTTTATCTTCTCCTAATCAGAGTCCCTTTGAATGTTATGTGAAGTCAGTCACTCTAAACTGTGCTAAACAATAAATGGCTCTTCTTTCTCTCCTTATTTTGGGACTATCTTCTTTAAATATTTGAATCTCAATAGTCTTTTTATGAAATTCGATTTATTGACCAGCGGTTGCTAAAGTGACCAACTTCGCTGATAATAATCTGTTTCATGCACTTTGTTTTCTCATAACTCAATAATAATAGCATGCTGCACATAACTTCATTCCCATTATCAGAATTGGTGTCTTGAACAAATAAACTCATGAAACAGCACAATGAAGTTAAATTTAAAATGCTCATTAACTGTTTACTAGTTTCTGACTAATTAGATGAAACACGAACATGAGTAAAGATATGAACACAATAAAGATTGGTGACAGTGGTTTGTGGTACAAACCTGTCTTGATCATACTCTCCTCGATCGTAATAGAAGTACATGAACTTATGTGGATCCCATCAGTGTTTGGGCTTGTGCCTGGTGCAATCACTTGCAGATGAGATGCTTTAACTAAAGAACAAGCGGTGAAAGCCATATGCATCTGTTGACTATTGATCAGTGTTAGATCGTGGACCCTAAGACGCTTGATTCTGTGAAAAGTAACTGCCTGCACCATGACATTTTCTATACTTTCAACCGAAAATTGAGGTGAACGTGTGAATGAGGCTTGCCCTCAAGAAAAACTTATGAGTTGAACTACCAACCGTAGGGGCATGTCGGCATGGCTGCAGATAGAAAATAAAATATCTTAAGAATGCAGTCACCTTTTGACAATGAAAACACACATATATGGCTATTACTGGATATGGGTAGCTGTCTCATTTAGCGAAATAAGCTAAAAAGATATAACAATGGTGTGGTGATATTCACTTACTCTGAGGTGATTAGCAATATGGGCATCACCACTAATCTATCGCTTAGCAGATCATTAGTAAAATCAGCTGACATTTCATACTCTTTTTTTTTCATACGCACATATGGCTGTGTATGTGGGATACTGGATATAAGCTACTACATCGTTTAATAAAATGAACTCAAGAGATGAAAGTGGTGAGGTTCACACCTTTCAATGTAACCAGTAGGGTGGACCTCACCAATGGTCTCTTAATCTTAGCTCATTTAGCAAACTGGGCTATCACCTGATACCCATTATTTACATAACTGTAAGGATCAGAAGTTTACATTGGATGTTTTTTTCTTGCAAGAGCTTGCCCACCATTCTTGTCCCCTGCCATTAATAATTCCACCGCCAGTTACCACAAAGTCTTTTACACCATGGAAATACAGCCATTTATGAGGATCTAGCCCATTCCAGGCATCAGGATCAGATGGTGCAATAATCGTTCCAGAGACCTAGTTAGATAAAAAGTCCAATAAAAATTTGTGTTACATTCATTTGAGAAGAAAATGATGGGTGAGGAGGAGGAAGAAGGAATGAAAAGGATATATTTTATAGGAAAAGGGTCATGGAAACTGGAAGTTTATAAGATACTCAGGTCTACCGCTATGACAAAAAAAACATACCAGCAATGTTATCTTTCCTTTACACGGCCCACCTAATTGAATTGGCCTGATCAAACATACATAGTCTGCAGGGATTTCAATGACAGCTAGTGCTCTTGAAGAACAAGCACGCTTCCAAGCTTCTACAAATGCCTGAAAATTTGCAAAATTTGTTTCCTTCTGTTAGATATAGTTATTATAGAATGATTGCCTTTTACACCAAAAGCTACAAATGAAATATGACAAATTCCTTTTTGTTTCCGCACAAAATAGAGATTGTCACGGCTGTAAAACATTTCGACCGGGAACATAAATGTTGAATTAAGTGCAGAGAACGAGAATTTGGGATCAGCATCAGTATCATAGTTCCTTCTTTTCTTTCTTTTTTTTTAATTGAAGTCGCTTTAGAGGAGATTTTTTGTGAGTGCCCTTTGCAATGTCAGAAAAAAAGAAGATAAGGCAAAATAATAAAGCACGCTTGCTGCTCCAAACCAACTTTATCAATGTCACCTTCAAAGTGATGGATTAAAACTTCGGAACAATTTTCTCTGATGCATGAAGGTCTGAAGGACTATAATAATCTGTAGTCTCCTAAAACCCATGATTCCTAAATCTCTTAGATGAACACAGAGCATAATGTAGTTCAGCCTATCAAGTATCCGAAGAGAAATCCACTATGAACCTCATCAAATTCGCTTGACCATGTACCGAAATTTTCCATATACAAGGAGTTGTGATGTCCATAACAGTGTTATCGAGGCGCAAAGCGCAATGCGGGGCGCAAAGGTTCCTTACGCGCACCATGCGCAAAGCGCACAACGAGGCGCGTGCCTCACTAATTGAGGCGCATAACTCAAACTAATATTTGCCAACATCATAAGACAGAAACATATAAGCAACATATTAGTTACCTACATCCAAAATTATGAGAATATCAACTTAAATCATCAAATTATGCTAACTGAATTTTTAAAGTAATAAAAAAGATACAAGAAACATGTATTTAAATCATCAAATTAAGTGATTAACAATTATGAGCATATGTTTATAAATTGTCACATAAAAGACTAAGAAATATAATTAACAAACATGACTGTTCATAATTTTCTAGTTAGTATTCTTAATTGATATTTGCTACTTAGCATGAAAAGATGAAGAATGAATGTAACAATTACATATTTACATGTTTATAATTTGCTAGTTAGCATGCTAATTAGAGAATGAAGTTACAATTAGCAAACAAGTATACTAAATTACTAATTATTGTTTCCTTTTTATAGGTTAAACATGAAAAGATGAAAATAGATTAGCAACTAGTAAGAAAGAGTATATTACATGATATAAATATGTAATTATGCAAATTATTTAAAAAAAATAGAAGAAAGAGTATGTTACATAACGCAGGTGTGAGGCGCACGTGAGGCGTGCGCGAGGCGCACGCGAGGCGCGAGCGAGGCGCAAGTGAGGCGCATGCGAGGCGCGCGCCTCGCTGCGTGCAGCGCCCCGCCTCGCGTGCGGGGCGCATTTCCCCCAGGCCGAAGCGCCCGGCGCCCGGGGCGCGCCCGAGGCGCGCATCTCAATAAGCCTGGTCCATAAATTTCCTTTTCATTGCATAGGGCACATGTCAATTGCCCGATGTTGTATCTAGTCTCATATCTGCTATTTAGGAAAGGATAGTGTGTTCAAAACTTTTTCTTTTAACAACTCACATCTAAGCTTTTGACTTCACATAATCTCAGATTCCACTAATCTCACCAATTTCCACTCTCTACCTCGCATAGTTTAGTTACATTATCGTGCATTGCTAGCCCCTCTCTTGCCATTATTCTGCAACCTCGATTCCGTCTATGATCTCTTATAGGCTTCCGTCCTAGAGCCATATTTTCTCAAGGATTCTGTCTACGATCTCATATAGGCTTCCGTCCTAGAGCCATATCTTCTCAAAATGAAAGACCCAGTACTTTGTGCTTATCAAGATAGAACACATAGTGAAACAAAGTCTAAAGTTAGTCGTTTTGGAAACAGATCAATTCAAGTGGATTTTTTCCAAGTTTATCGGGCAACAGAACCCTGTTACGCAAGCAAACTTCTTCAAGAAAAGAAGGATGCATTTTTTTTTAGTTTTTAATAATGAACCTGAAAAGCTATATGCATAAGCATAATTGAGGATGAAATGTAGGCTACTATTCTTGTAAATTTGTTACCTAGACATATGCAACACGAAAAGCTAAATATAGGAATATTTCAGATACTCTATGATTTCTCAGAAAAAATTACCCAGAACTCAGCCTTCTTCTTACACTTACTGACATGGGGTATCTTTTTTAAGCTAATTATCAGAAAACCCCCTTTAATTTTTTACTTTTAACTTTCAGATTTCTTCAGAAAACCCTTCCGAAAGTGTGAGCCACAATTTTCACAGGCAAAAATATCCCCTTGAGTAAATTTACCCACAGATGTGAAAATCACGATTAGCACTGTTGGAGGGGGCTTTCTCACAAAATCTTAAAGGTAAAGGGTGTTTTCTGATAACACCTAAACTTAAGGGGGGTTATCTTTTAGGGGGTTTTCTGATATTTAGCATTTTTCACGGGTATGCACTTCCTTATTTGTTATATTGCTGGTTCTACTACCTACTGCTTGTAATCACTCGCACAAATTCTCATACAGAGCATTGGCATTATCATTTTTAACAGAATCAAGTAAAAATTCCTCATCTACATCAGAAACATACATGGGTTGTGCGCACATTTTCACCACCTCAACAGAAAAAAGAAAACTAAGCATCCAAAATGGAATTTTGATGGGTTTTTTTTTTCCTTTTTGTTTTCTCCCCCCTTTCCAAATACCTGGGTGTCGTCGCCGCATCCATCTCCCCTAGCTCCAAAATGCGAAACCGAGAGAGTGAGGTTAGTCCACTGCCTTCCCCTCGATCTAGCCCTCGACGAAGGGAGCTTCAGCCCGCTCGCAAACCCATCAACCACGGTCGAACTCAACAGCAAGACTCCGACAAAAACAACAAAAAGGAGGGAAATTTGGGAAGCAGAAGAAGATGCCATTGCGGGGGAGGGAAGGGAGCATGAGGAGAAAGGAGACGCAAAGAATGTCGGTGGATCTTGATTAACTTATAGGAGAGAATGTGCGTGTGTACGTGCGGTGCTTGATGAAATGCTGCAGATGGCGACATGTAACAAATTTGTGACGTAACGTGAGAAGGAGATGGGTTTGAGCTGGAGATTCTCTCCCTCTCTCTCTCTCTCGATCTCTCGACAAATTAAAGGAACCCAATCGACGCAATTGTGTGCCCTTTATTGCCTTTGGTTAAAGAATGTTTTCCAGATACTGTTTGTTTTTATGGACTGGG